GGGTGGGTGGGTAGGTGTGTGGGTGTGGGTGTGTTAGTTTCTCAGAAGCATGCAGAATATATGTACATCTCAGTAGGTCTGTCTGGAAACAGTTCAACTATCTTCCTCTGGTTATCCTTGTAGATAGTGCACAGATTCACCTATAAAACAACAGGGTCTGATTCATTTGCAGAAACAACTTCAATACTGTGTTCTCGAAGGTTTCATGGCCGGGATCCCATGGTTGTTGTGGGTTTTTCCAGCTGTTCAGCCGTGTTCTGGAGGTTCTGGAGATCTCAACACAGACAGAGTTCTGACTCCTGTCCTCTGAAGATGCCGGCCACAGAGACTGGCGAAATGTTAGGAAGAAAAACCTCCAGAACAGGGCCAAACCAATTTCAGTATTGTTCTCCCTAAGTGTGGATTGCAAATCTGCCAGAGCAACATCACAATCAGGGTTACAATCAGGTTATCTTGTGTTTGCTACAGTTGCAATGACTACAGATGTGTTTTATTGTGACACTGTGTGTAGGTGATTGTGTAAGTATTTCCCCCACAAGTTCACGTTCCTATGCCTGGATCCAGCATTAGGTTGCACAATCAGGTTTGTAGCTAGCTTTGCAACTGGTCATGTGAAGAGAAACAGGCAGGAGGGGAAAACCTGCGGCACCCTTACGCATACTTTTTGTCCAGTTAATTTTTTTCAGGGTTTGTTTGTTTTATTTACTTGTGGACCTTATATCCTAACAATAACTCCTTCAGAACAACCTTCAATATTGTGTGAAAACAGTGATGAATTGTGGCTTGTGTATATCTTCATTTTGTCTTTTCTGGTTGGAAAATTGAGCAGTGACAATGAAATGATTTTTTTCAGAGTGGAACTGCCTCTTACAGAGAGCACCTTGTTTGAAGAAGGAATTCCTTAAGTGCTGAAAGCATTTGAAATCTCGTGTGATGCAGAAATTATATGATGAATTAATTTTTGCTTCATTTTGTGATCGGTCTTTGGGAGGTAAATATGGGCTTTGCAAATACGATTTCTGAGACAGAAATTTCTGTAGAATCATGGACTTTGAACACTAACATGATTTCAAGCTGTCAGCGATGTGTTATCTGCAAAATATCATTTGGCTTCAGTGGCAAAGTTTAGCGTTTAAACAGGAATATTCCTACATACTGTATATCTGAAGTATGGAGAAACAGGAAGTGGTAGCTTTGGCGGCTTCTCCCTCTCGTATCCTGAAACCCTGCTTCTGCCATTCTATGTTTGTATCTAAGATCACCTTGCAATCTTAGGCTGCAGGTCTAATGCTGAGTGTGGTGGGTGGGTGATGAGGCTGAAGTGCCCAGCTGGCAGGGGAGAGAAGCTCTGCCATCAAGGAGGTGGCACAGCCTCTGCAGAGGCCCCAGTTACATCTTTATGATGGCAGAAAGCTCCTGCTTTGGTGTTTCTGCCCAACAGCAGGCCCTCTCGTGTCTCTCGGAGACAGTCTTGAACCCACTGAGGGAATGGAGTAGGTCTATCAATTATGCCAGTCTGTAGCTTGTGTCGTTAATTGTTTTCCCGTTGGTTTTTGTGGTGGCGGTGAAAATGATTCAAAACAAAGATATACTACTGTTGATTTTAGAGCTTCACAGCTTCCTGCTACCCTCTGCAAAAACTGAAAGGGCCTTTGGGAGTGGTGGAGTCTCTGTCAGTTTATCTCCCCAGAGCACCACAAAGCTCTCTTAGGATCTTTTTGTCCACCGTTTCCTTTTAAAGCTCAAAATCCTAAATCTTTAGCTGCTTTTTAAAATTCCTGTTCTCAGTAAGGTTTGACATTTAGGCTATAATTACACTGGATTTCATTTGTATTAATCTGAAATCATGGTCAGTACTCACACAGAGGCTGCAAATTGATTCAGCAATTCATTGTTAATACTGGATACAATGCAATTTGCATTCCAATCCACAGCCAGCCTTCCCTCCTTCCCTCCCTTCCACTGGTCCTGCCTCTGCTGATCTAACGGAGGAGGGGTAGGTATGATAAATAATGATAACAATGCTCCAGTGATAAAGTGACAGGGTGATCTAGCACTCATCTCATACAAGTAAGAAATTGTTTTAAATTAAAAATGTTTGAGGATGATCAGGGAGAGGAAAGATAGTGGGTGATGTTGTTCCAGTCCTGAAATGTCACTCCCAACTGCCTACCTCACCAAAACACCACCTACAGACACACACACACCTCATCTGTACAATAATTTATCACAACTAACCCCATGGGGAATTCCCTGTTGGAATTGTTCCGTCTAGAAGCCGCCCCCCCCCCAGCAGCAAAGGGGAGGAAACTTATTTGGGAGCAAAAATGGCTGGACTGATTCAAATCAGCTTTTGCATCATGCAATTAGAAACACTTTGAATTCACCTTTCTAATAATTGGAGCAAGTCCCATATTATTTACCATTTGCAGAAATACTATATCAACTTCCCAATAATATCTAGTAACATCAACATTTGTGAGACCTAAATTGTAACAGAAAAACATGATGCCTTTTTGGGAGATCCACTCTGTGGTACTAATCTTATTCTTTACTCAGAGTAGATAATGTAGAGTGTCACTGGTTTTATTCTGCTGTCCCCGTTTCATTTATTTTGCCTTTATCAACCTAGATGTCATCTGAAGTCAGCCATACAGAATGGAAATGTCTGCTTCTAATATCTTCCATCTCTTCCTGTCTCAACAATTAACAACATACGGTTACAGTCACTGGCATCTTCAACATTAGTTATATGGACTCCTTTTGTTTTTCTTTAAAAAAGAGAAGCTGTTGAACATTTACTAGAACACTTGAGCAACTGAAAAACAAAAAATTCCCAAATTTAATTGCAAGAACTCTACGTCTGCAGCTGAATAACCCACTGGATCTCTTCAAGTTCTGAGATTCCGTGATTTTATAATAATTCCTGGGATGGGCACATTTGGAATTTTGAAATTGTTGTGGGTGTCTTATAAAACAGTTGCCATTCATCAGTGGTTGTCATGGACTAGATGTAGCTAATTACAAAAAAAAAAACACCCCTTCCTCCCAGAAGGCATACCAATGAAGTGAAAACAATAGTAACCTGCTGAAGAATAACTGCCGGAGTTGTCCTATTCAAATGGCAGAGCGATGGCAGCGAGAGCAGAGGCAATTCCCAGGGCTCTGGGGGCCCCTGTGTAAACTCCAGGTCAGCAGACACCTCCCCCCCCCCAGCAGTGGAAAGGGGGCAAGTTCTACAGGAGAGTGGCCTTGCAGCAAAGGAGGGCTGGAAAACTCCGAATTCAGACAGCAATTGGTCTTTGTGAGAATTTCCTTTCTCAAGAATAACTGCCGGATAGCTCAGTGGTTTATGTGTCCGGCTGCGGAGCTAGAGCTTGGGAGGTCCATTCCCCCACTGTGCCTCCTTGAGAGGCACTGGACCTGATGATTTATAGGGTCCCTTCCAGCTCTGCAGTTTTCAGATTGTTGTTGTTGCAGGCGTATGAGCTGCAAAGCAGAGAAATATTACAGTATTTGGAATCCAATGTTTGGTGTTCCAACATTCATTTCACAGACAACAAAGTGCCAAGGCTTGCACAGAAGTAATTTGCCAAATAAACCTATTAAAGGTTAGGGATAAAATCTGTGCCCCAAATGCCATATCACATACTTACCCCCACAAAACACAACAAAATATTTTTTTTTCACTGCAGGTAAATGAGTGACACACAGAAACATACCATATACAGTAATTAAAATAATATTGTTGTTATGTACTGTCAAAGTGGAACTAACTTTATAGCAACCCTAATAGGGCTTTTAAGAGGAATGATATATTTAAGGAATGGTTTTACTGGTTCTAGAACCCCCAAAGTGAGTTTCCATGGCTGAGAAGGGATTCGAAACCTGAGCCCTAGTGTATCACTCTATCTACACCACACTGGGTATTATAAAATAATTACAGTACAGTAGATCAAAAATCAAACCCCAGGAAAAATACAGAAAGCCCATTATTTTCTTTCTTTTATCATCCTCTTCATCTCTCCATTATCTTCCTTACCTCCCCTGTTGTTACTTTGTCGTTTTATGTTGCTCATTGTAAACTGCCCAGAATGGCCTTGGCTGCCAGATGGGCGGTAAATATATCAAATTAAATTAATTAATTAAATAGCATTTCTTTTCCCTCGGTGCCTAGGAATGCTTCAAAATGAAGAATGCGGCAATCTGCTAACAATCTTTAGATCAACTCCAGCTACTGTACATAGATAAATATTTTTTTAAAAAACCCAGCTATATGTTTTAAAAACAAAATAACTCTGCTAAAAATCTGTAGATCAACTCCAGGGTCTTTTAAAGCATTGATCAAATATCATCGATGCCCACCAAACCATTTCTAACTTCCTTGAGAAACAATCACCTTTATCTGACTAAAGGCCAAGCCTTTTGCAGCACTGACAGTAAACCAAAGAAAACCTTGGGAAAGTAGATTGGATGTTTCTTAGTACTGCTCCTAATACAACACATATCGAAAGAGTGAATAAATATCAACAAATAAATTATATCTATACAGCACTTTGATTTCTCTCTGTAAATCACTATGTATTTGCTGAAACAACTCAAAATTCATATGGTGGGAAAGTAGCACGAACTCCTAGTGTCATTACAGAGATCCAAGCTCCTCTCTGCCACCCAGTGGCTCAATGTTCAGGTTACAGAAACATTCATATTTTATGACAATTGTATCTGTGGCTCCCAAATGGTGGAATATTGTATACTGTACTCCCTTCAGACTGCAATCAGTTTCCACTCTGATTCATGCAAAAATATATCTTTTTAGACTGGCATACAATAGTTACCATACTTTGCTGTGTTGTTTTTTACTCAACCCTTCATTGATTTTAAAGATTTTAAAATCAACCCTTCATTGATTTTAAAGTTGATTTTAACAGTTTTACAGTAGGTTTGGTTTACTTGATTTTATGATTGTGTAGCTAAATTTGGCTTTATTTTCTTTTCATTCTTGTGTGAAGACTGTAATCTGCTTTTGGCGTACTGTCTAGTGGCAGGACATAAATGTAGTTCATAGCTACATAGATAAATATTTTTTAAAAAAACCCAGGTATTTTTTGACAATTGTATCTGTGGCTCCCAAATGGTGGAATATTGTATACTGTACTCCCTTCAGACTGCAATCAGTTTCCACTCTGATTCATGCAAAAATATATCTTTTTAGACTGGCATACAATAGTTACCATACTTTGCTGTGTTGTTGTTTTTACTCAACCCTTCATTTATTTTAAAGATTTTATGCATTTAGTTGATTTTAACAGTTTTACAGTAGAATTTGGTTTACTTGATTTTATGATTGTGTAGCTAAATTTGGCTTTATTTTCTTTTCATTCTTGTGCTTTTGGCATACTCTCTAGTGGCAGGACATAAATGTAGTTCATAGCTACATAGATAAATATTTTTTTAAAAAAAAACAGATATATGTTTTAAAAACAAAATAACTCTGATGTTACACCCCTTATTCTGTAGGGCAACTTTCAAATTTTAAGACTTTCAAATTTCACAGGCTAAGAACTATGGTAGAAGTTGAGACAGAGAGAGGCAGACTCTATCTCACTCATTTTTTTCTCTTTTTATTTTTATACATAAAGATAATTGCTTCATAATATGAAGTAAGCTGCTCTGGAATCCACAATTGAAAGCCAGTATGAAATTATTTTTAAATAGGACAAAACATACTCATACATTCACATGCACACACAGAATCCCACTGTGACGTCCCACTTTCACGTCACAATGGTCAGGACACTCTCTCATTCACACTTTATTTGCTGCCACCAACCACACACATATATCTGACTCCTCAGACAAAGGTATGGATTTTAAAATTAAAAGGACTGTTTATTGGTACAAATTAATATAAGGTAATCACTATAATCAATACATAAAATAAAGTATCCCCTCAAACACACTATCACTCAGACCTTAACTAACACAGTCTTCATGCCCTAACTCAACTCTCCTTAACTGATTTTTATACATAAAGATAATTGCTTCATAATATGAAGTAAGCTGCTCTGGAATCCACAATTGAAAGCCAGTATGAAATTATTTTTAAATAGGACAAAACATACGCACACATACACATGCACACACAGAATCCCACCTTTATCTGAAACAACTTCCTCATTCTTTATAGTGAATGGGCCAGTTTATGGTAAACATCTGTTTGAGCACACATACATCTGACCTTCAAATTACAGGAATGATTTATTAGTAATAGCAAAACCATAATAAAATAGTAAATCCTCCATCATATTGTATTACCTCTGATATATAGACCTGGTACATCACACTACCAATTAAGTATTACTGTATTTGTATTCATACTGGAATAATCATGTTCAATATTTCAATATATACTACATTAATAAAGTAAAATAATTTATTTTACTAATTTTCTTTATCTAGTCAGCTGAACACTTGTCACCCCTATCCAGCCTAATGTTCTCCAGATGTTTTTACCTTACAATTCACATCCTTAGACAGAATGAGCACTAAATAATTGAACACATCTGGAAGGTGCCAGAATGCAGAACACTGATCTATACATTCAGATATTTGGAAGAAAAATGAGTGATAGGCAAAGGAAAGAAAAAAAGCTATAATGCTTATTATTAAATGTGCCTTCTTCTAAGGAGGGCTCGCACAACTGCAATAAAATAAATGAATTTAAAATGTCAACATAATTATTGTCATCTGTTTTATTTTATTTTTTTTACTCATCTGTTTTTTTTCCTCTACTCATTTTCTAGGATACAGATCTAAGCTTCATGGTACAAGCCTACAGACTTTCAAGTGCCAAGGAATCATATGTACAAAATGTATAAAAATGTGTCAAGATTGGATAATGCAACACTGGACATGCTCAGGAATCCAGCCATTATGATGACCTTGCCATTTGTGTATGGGTTGATAGCGCTTATCAGCATTCCTGGAAATACGTTCTCCCTTTGGGTTCTGTTTTTTCACATCAAGCCCAAAGTACCATCGGTGATCTTCATGATTAATCTTAGCCTCACAGACCTTGCGTTGGCCTCCTGCCTCCCTTTCCAGATCATGTATCATGCTCGGCAGAACCACTGGACTTACGGCAAGGACCTCTGTAGCTTTGTCACCGTGATGTTTTACGCCAACACGTATTCCTCCCTGGTTACTATGACCTGCATCAGTTTTGACCGCTACCTAGGAGTCGTCTATCCAATGAAGTTCTACAAATGGAGAAGAAAAAGATATGCAGTTGCCATCTGCCTTGTAATGTGGCTTCTTATACTATTATCCCTGTGGCCACTGGCCGCAACAGACCTGACTTATGAAGTGAAAGAATTGGAAATCACGACCTGTTTCGATGTCCTTAAATGGGAAATGCTTCCCACTATAGAGGCATGGGCAGCTTTCCTCTTAATGCCATTTATTTTCTTCTTTTTGATTCCCTTCATAGTGACAGTTGCCTGCTACATCTGTATCATTCGGAAACTCATCCAAGCTTCTAACCAACAAGGCAATGGGCAGAAGACCCGTTCGATCTCCTTGGCCATAATAGTCGTCTTGGTTTTCGTCATCTGTTTTGCTCCCAACAACTTTGTCCTGCTGGGGCACATACTCAGCCGTCTCCGAGGGAAGGAAGGGTTCTATCACATTTACAAACTCACCCTGTGTCTTAGCTGCCTCAATAACTGCATAGATCCGTTCATTTACTATTTTGCATCCACAGAATTTTATAAGAAGTTCAAGCAGGTGATAGGCCAGAAGGTGTCAATCAGTGACACTTTGGAAACCAGAAGGGGGAGCGTGTTCTCTGCCAGGACGGTGTCGGCAAGATCCATGTCAAGTGGACACGTGGAAGGGATGGATGTTCTCAGGCCTAGTTTGCAAAGGCATGAAAGTGTCTTTTAACACACGGTTCAAATGAGATGGAAAAACTCCTTTGTGCTCCACGGGATGAATATTAGACAACAGAAGAAGTCGTTGGACAATCTAAACCCCTTAAACAACAAGTCAGCTTGTCCACTATGGGTGGACCTCCACATGACATGAGATATGCTGCTACTTCCCTAACATGGCATTCCAAATGTCAAGTGCTTTTCCAGCCTTTAAAAAAATGTGAGAACAATTACCATATGAGGTAGCATTATTAAGTCATACATTTCTCTCCCTGCAGCATCTAATGATGTGGAAACACCAAGAGATTGTGATATTACCACCTACTTTTAAATATCTTTACCAATGTTCCCTCTAATTTTCTGCCAGTGCTGGGCATGGGCCGCACCCCTCATGCATGGGGTTCCAGTCGTAACCAGAACCAAATAGGCAGCAACATTGGCTGTGGGTGAGCACCACCGACGCAGTGCTGCAGGGCTGAATGGCTACTAAGTTAGAGGGGATGTTGGCCTTTATGTATTTTTAAATGTATTGTCTGTTTTGTGTTTATTCTGAATGTTTAAGTTAGGTTTTGTTGGGTTCCTTTAGCCAGATGGGTGCTACAAAAATTAAAAAAAAATAAAACCAATAAATAAATGTTGGAACAAAGAGATCCTACCCACAACAGAAAAATATAAGCCACTTGACAGGAGCCAGAAAGACGCAGATAGGAAGGCTTTGGAGGCAGGCTGGCATATTCTAGCAAAGATGCTGTCTGATCACATCTTTAAGAGTGCACCTGCTATGCTCCTGGGAGCAAGCTAAAGAGCCCATGTAATCACTCTCTCCGTTTCTTAAGTCTAAGTACCTATATGAAAAGGAAACATGCAATAAAATGTAAGTATAATGGACAAAAAACACTCCAAGTATGTTTGCCTGTTAGTGAAGGATAGAACCTGTTTTGGTTTTCTAATGAAACATTTTAAAGAAAAAACACTGGTTTGATAGTCTTTCATATTAGAACAAAGAACTCATGATTCTTTGGCATAGAGTGTAGCAGCTGTGGCTCTCCAGATGCTGCAAAAGCCAGCACCATTTACTTTGCAGGCCAGGGATACTATGAGTTACAGCCCAACAAAAGCGGAGGCCAAAATGCTTGTACATAGATACACAAATAGCCTAATTTTTGGAAGCAAACTGCCTCAAGTTAAGAAATCACCATAGACATTATCAGTTGCACACTGAGATACAAAACTTAGCATGAGAAAGATAATCTTAAATTAAAGCAGTTTGCCTGCAAATGTTACACCCGTTGTGTTATGCCATTGTAAGCAGGTGTGAGCATCAAGGCCAGCCTGTATTAGTAGAATATGACACTTACATGGATATGCATTGTTGGCTGCTGCTGCTGCTCATTCTACTTACTACAAGCCTTTCTTTCTTTCTTTCTTTCTTTCTTTCTTTCTTTCTTTCTTTCTTTCTTTCTTTCTTTCTGTGAAAGACTAATTCAAGTGGCTGAATTAGAAGGTAAAGGTTCCCCTTGATATTTAGTCCAGTTGTATCCGACTCTAGGGTGTGGTGCTCATCCCCATTTCCAAGCCATAGAGCCAGCGTTTGTCCGAAGACAGTTTCCGTGGTCACGTGGCCAGTGCGACTAGACACGGAACACCGTTACCTTCCCACCGTGGTGGTACCTATTTATCTACTTACATTTTTGCATGTTTTCAAACTGCTAGGTTGGCGGGAGCTGGGATAAGCGACGGGAGCTCACTCTGTCGCATGGATTCGATCTTACGACTGCTGGTCTTCTGACCGTACAGCACAGAGGATTCTGCGGTTTAACCCGCAGCGCCACCACATCCTTGAAGTAGAAAGAAACCCCCAAATACAGTAGTAATGAATGGACCTGCATGTTTCTATTTCTTCTATATGCATTTTTTTGAATGTCAAATTCCTTACGTCAGCTTTAAGAAGTTTGCAAATCCAGGAAAATTACTATTAAACATTGAAAATTGGAACCAAACTAAATCCTCAGCTTTCTCCACTGGCCAAAATTAATAGGTAAAAGAGGTTTCAGTATGGAGAAGAGCCTACTGAACCTGTCTGCCAGGTCACTGCTGAAGAGGAGAAGTCAGTCAATTAAAAATAATAAAAAGTCGGGGCCGGCCCATTTAGCACCACTAACATGTCTCAACAGACAGATACTTAAGCTAGGTTTTTAAGAGCCAAGTACTCAAAGACTTTTGCCTGAATGGATAAATCTCTGTTTTACTTTTGCTGACATTTGGGTTTTTAAAAAAATCTTAATTTGTCAAATTTTAGCTCTTAGAAACAAACAAATGATACGAAGCTGGGCTTTTCTGTCCTGCACAAAACCATGGAAGCCCACCAGCTTAGCCTTCTTTCATGAACAAGGAAGCATCAACAGTAAAAGGTCCTGTCTTCATTGGTCCATAGCTCACAGGTTAGCATTGATTTTTCTGTCTCTTCCAGAAATAGTAGAACAAAAGGACATTCAAGCTGGTGAGAGGCTACACAGAACAGGTGGTATTCTGGGTTGCAAAGTTCATTCTCCAAGGCTTTGATTTATTTTTTTATGTTTAGATTCTGCTTGTTTCTTCTTGGTTCTCCATTATATCCTTGTAACAACCTTTTGAAGTACTGTAACTCAAATTGGAAAAGAGTGACTGGCCCAAGGTCATACAATGACTGTCAAAGGTCACTGGGGATTAGAAAGTGGATTTTACGGCTTCCAATCCAGCACACTAACCACCAGACCACACTGAGATGAGTATGACTTGTGGGCCACACACGTCCCCTCATCCATTTATGCAGCACTCCCATGACAAAGGGTTTTTTCCAAAATCAAAAGTGAACTTCCAGTAACTTCCATTTTCATTTTGAGGGTCTGGTGTAGCCTGTGGTAGGTTGAGGATGCTAACTATTGGCTCTGTAGCTTGCTCACTCTATTTATTTATTTATTTATTTATTGGACTTATATACCGCCCCATTGCGCTACAAGCACTCTCCGGGCGGTTTACAATTTTTAATTATACAGGCTACACATTGCCCCCCCCCAGCAAGCTGGGTACTCATTTTACCGACCTTGGAAGGATGGAAGGCTGAGTCAACCTTGAGCCGGCTACCTGGGATTTGAACCCCAGGTCGTGAGCACAGTTTTAGCTGCAGTACAGCGTTTTAACCACTGCGCCACGAGGCTCTACATCTCACATAGATGTCCTTGCTCTATTGTGCAGCTTAAGCTCCTTTTGAATTGCTTCGACTCAAGGTGGAAGGTGCCAAGATGACATTAATTTATCAATCTCCACTCCTTCTGTCCTTGCTAAGTCACTGCTAGGGGGTGTACTGTACAAGTGATATCTGCAATCAGGTCAAGGTCTATATTTGTGCATCACAGAGTCAGTACATCTGACAAAGATGGCCTAAAGATAAAATACACCACCTTTATTCTGGGTTGGCTATAGGGAAGTAAACAGCACATGACATTGGCAGTAGGTAAAAAGGAGTGATTGATGAGTGGCTGCACCTTCTTGACCTACAACTTGATTGCTCTGCAGTGGACAATACCGGCCAAGGCTTGATCTTTAATTTAACATCCCTCGGGTTTGATGCACTCACTACCTGAATCTGGTTGCCACTTTGATCAGTATTCTCAAAGGCAGACACATACCTATAAAGACAGTACTTATATTCCCCCTCTCTTCCCCCACTTTTTCCTCCATACAATTTTGCTCATTCCTCAGCATCAGAGTAGGTTTCTCTTAACTCATTAGTTCTTATCAGATATGTACAAAACTGGATTTTTAATTTCTTACTTCTCCTCATTTTCATATCATGATGCAGAGAAGCAGAAGACTGTTCTTACGTACTGCTGCCGTTTATACTTCAAGATTTGACAATTATGTCATTTTAAATGACCAAACTCATTCACTGAGGTCATTTAGCATTGATTGATTATGTAGGTTGTGTATTTTAAAGTTGAAAGCTGAAGTAAGATTCTAAGATGAACATGCTAAAGACATATTTTAAAACAAGCAGAAATATTTACAGTCTCATTAGAGCAATGCCATTCATAAGAAGCAGCTTCCATTCCAACATGTAGCCCTGGGAGGTCCTCAGGGGCAAAATGAAGATATGGATTATTCAAGAAATGTATTAAACAATTCCACATTTTATGAAAGCACTCAAAGGCTAAAATTCTGTTGTCTTGTGTAGTAAGTTGCAAGGCTTCTTGGATCACTGGACCTTATGGAGCAGATGACTCGCAAATTCTCACTAATTCAATGGGCCTATTCTAGTTCTGACTTACTGCAGTAAACAGGATTTCAGCAACTGAGTACTTTTTGGCTGTCCACCATCATTTTATAAATTTGGGAAATAGCAGAGACAGGCAGACTTCAGTAATGGGCATCCCAGTAATAGGCTACTGACCAGAGTAGAACCAAAGAGAACTTAAGTAAATGGAACTTTTGCACCAACAGAGTTCTTTTTGGAGCAGTAGAACCAAAGAGAACTTAAGTAAATGGGACTTTTGCACCAACAGAGTTCTTTGAGGAGCATGGAGAAGAACAGGCAACTTCACACCTATGTCAGTTTGCTCTGTCCCTGTCAACAGGTACTGTGGAAGATTCAACAAACCATGGTGCCTGCCATTTTCTCAAATGCTCCTGATCTTAAACTACAATAACCACTAAAGATGTAAAAACAAACAAGCCCAGAGTGACAGAGTAAGAGCCTGTCTACATTTCTAAAAAACCAATATGTAGCATTTTAATTTTAACTGATTCAAGTTATGTAGTTTTTGAGTTGTTTCCCTGCATTCTTACTGAACAAGTGAAATGCTCCCTTTTAAAGGTGTCTGCAGAGTTCCGAATGGGCTTTAAATTGATTAAGAAAACAGTATGCTAAAATAAGACAAGCACCCAACAACAAAAAAATCCCTACTAGGATTCGGGTCCAAAAAAGGAAAAAGAACACAACTCATCCTACAGATTGAAAGTGACACCACTCACCAGCCCATGCTAAGTTATAATACTTCCCTCTCCAAGGCTCCCAGTGATTGGCCTGGACTCATTTACTGTACAGACATCCATGCTCTTATATACTGTAATTATTCACACATAACAGGCCATACAGCACAGATACAGACTGAAACACAAGGCCCTGCAACTAACCTAGATGCCAACTGTTTTCTCACATCTACTCTGCAGCACCATTATGGACCCTCACAATGTTACTCGTAACACCAAGACACCATTAACCTTCTCATCTGCGAATGAAATCTACGCCATCCTTTGTCAGCAGTGCCCCTCTGCATTCTATGTAGGACATATCTCTACAAATTTGAAATAAGAAATTACAGCTTAATTAAAAACCACTCAGATCTATTCAGTTTTAATTACAGATCTGAAAGAAACTTGTTTTACAGAAACTGAACTAAACTGGAAGATATGAGAGAGACTGCTAGACTGAGCTATATCCATAAAGTTTAATATATATCAGGTGGATTACATAACAACCAGAGATTCTAAGCCAACTATATGTATTGATACTTTAATATATATCAGGTGGATTACATAACACCCAGAGATTCTAAGCCAACTATATGTATTAATACTTTAGTTTAGTTTTATCA